AATCACATTCGCAGTTACAGACAGCGAGTAACTGCCGTCCATGCGCGTCATTAAGCCATTTAGAAAATTGCATAACTTGGTGTATGGAAGTAAGAATCCTGAAGAAATGGACACCGCGGCAGCGAAGCGGCTAAAACCGGTAGCATTTGTTTACAAAATAATTACATAATACTCGTTGACAAGCTGATTCAGAATTATCTTTTTATCACACTTGCTCATAAATGGTATGGTATGGTGGCTAACTTGACTATAATGCCCCAAATAAAAACCACGATAAGGATTTTTTTTATTTATCGACATATTTTCTTACATGGTCAGGTTCCAGCAAGGAGGTTACTTAAGTTCGAAATTAAAACATTCGCTTAAAATGTTATCTAAACAGAAATTCAATTGCAATTCAGCCACATACTATTTAAATACTTAATTATTAAGAATTTCTTGATTTTAATTATTTTCTGCGTAAAAAATTCACTTTTTTTATAATCCATCATGGATGGCTGCACGCGTGTTTGCTTTTTGCAAGATTTTAGTTCGAATTGTATTACCTATGTAAAAATTAAAAAAAACAATAAAAGTAGCCCCCCATTTGCCAAATCCATAATTGTTGTGTTGTGAACTACATTTATTTGTATTTATCTCCTCGCAAATATGATTAAAAACACCATATGTACCACTCACGGTAAAAAATACAAAACTGGAGTTATTAAAACCCTCAGCCTTTGGCTTCGAGATTCTAATAGAACCTCGTTAGTAATTTCTTATTTACCGTCCTTAATACACAATATACTATTTAAACGCCATTTGATACTAACGAGTCACTGTGTCACATTACATCACCACATCATTACAAGAATTGTAAATTGCAGTCGTTGGACATAACAATCGTAGCGTACCCAACGTTAATAAAGTTTACTAAGTTACGACAATATAAATGACAATTTTTACATATAATTAATTGCATAAAAATAAATTAATTAGTCGAAATAGTAACAAAAAATTATAAATGAAAATAGTAACAAAAAATTATAAATGACAATATTAACAGTACAGATACTGGAGCTTCGATGGCTTTCGAGAAAAGCGGCCTTTCTCAAAATCACGTAACACATCAGGAAGATGGTGCAAAAACAAGTGCAGAATATTTAAAATACAAATTTGACGAATCGTATACAGTTCCATGTTGTCAAGTGGTTATTTTAAACAATAAAAAGCTCAGCGTACTTTTTCATAATAAAATTAGGCTCATTCTGAGCGCTTTTGTGTAATAAGACAAAAATTGACTATTTCGGTTTGGGCCACTATTCTTGAAAAGCAGCAATAATAGTGACAATTGTTTGTGCTGGCAACGTTATACTTGCTAGTACGTAACACGTGATAGCTGCTTTATTAGCAGCACGAGTACCTAGACAACGTACGAGGAAACAGTAGCTTATCTGCACGTACCCATACGTCGTTCACTGTTGAACAGATTCATTTGTTTATTTACCTACATTCGCCAACGACGGAACTTTAAATTAGCTACTAGAAACAACTGATGATGTCAATCAGAACTTAAAACCCATGTAACAACTAGGCAAATCTTTATATATATATATATATATATATATCTCTCTCTCTCTTCATATAGTTCATACTCTATTACCGAGGTATGTTACACTGCCCAAATAAAATTGTAAATTTGTTATCAGAAAGAAGAAGAAATACAAAACAGTATTAGGTATTCCAAGAAAAGAGACAAACTACAAAGACGCTATTGCCAAGGGCGAGTAGTTTAATTACGTGTTTTCAGTGAGTATTAGAGACATTTATATGATTAGTAACGGGACCAGTAAAGAGGCCGAAACGTTGGTTAGTTTGGAAAAACAAAATATACGCAGTTTAGATCCGGAAAAAATTGTTTCATTTCCGTCGCGCAACCGCGAAAACCTAACTGTCAAATTCTTTATACGGAACATAAACAACTTAGCAAGTGTCGAGACACAGCACAAGCGTGAAATAATAACATAGCTAGCAACTGACGTGGGTGACGAAAACAATGCGACGGCACCTTTCAGGAGCCAGTCGGCGAGAAACGCCTTCCATGCGCGGCCGACGGCTTCGAACTCCTTGATGAGTTCGATGGAGTAGACAGATTCTTCTTCGTCGCCGGCGACGAGCGCGGGGTTGTCCGAGTAATAGTGTAGGCGCAGCATGCATGGGGCCCCGACGGTGCATTGCCCGCCGCCGCCGCCACTCGGTGCGGCCCGCCGCGCCTCCCACGGCTCACTGCTAATTATACCCGCGTACTGGCAGAAGCTGCTCGCGCCGCCGCCGCCGCGCAACGGATGTTTTGCAACGAACTTGACACCGCCTGCCACCTCGCCCGCGCCGCGCCGTTTGGCGATCTGCCCTGGCCCACGCCCACCCACGTCTCAGAAGCATTCGTTTACCATCAACAATCTTTCTTCGCATAACAACAACAACGCTCTACAAGTTCATTTTACAATGACCTTATTCAAATTCTTACAATAACTACATGCTACAACGATTCTTTTCTTTCCCTACACCGCATTTACCTAATACGTCTGTCTTAACAAACAGAAAAAGCCATAAACGTTGAACGTACTCGTGGTAAGTGTAATTTTAAACTAGTCTAACATTATGCAACGTCCCGACGACGAAACTAAAATTCTAGATGTTTAGGAATAAGTTTTCCTGTTGTTGCTATGATAGTCTAAATGTACATTGTACAGCATCGTATCCAGACACCGCACCGTGTACGACAAGCTGTTCGTTGCAGAGTCGTTGATCTACTTTAATTCTATGTTTAGATTCAGATGACGTTACAGAAATTCGTGTGAACTGAATTCGGAACTTCGGTCTCCTAAAAGAAAAGATTAGACTTTCAATATGCAGTAGGTAACCTACGAAGACCAACATAAAACATAAAAAAGCCTAGTTAAGTGGATATTATTTTCGCGGTGCACTTACAATTACATATTAACCTGAAATATAAACACGCCATTTCTGTAATTGAAAGGGCTAATACGACAGGGCGCGACTTGTGCAAGAGCGACATAAAGCGCGAGGTATTGCTATTCTCGCATAGAGAAAAGCTAACTCTCTCGTTTCTATGGCGCTCTCGCGGAAGTCGCGCCCTGTCGTGACAGGGGTTCAAATGGGGGTTTGTAGAAAAGTATAGTAAGTATAGTAAAAGTATAAATATTCTACAAGGATTCGCATTAATACAAAATAACCCTGTACGTATATGCACTATATTGATTAGTCTCGAGGATAAAGTTTGGACAGTGACCTTGTCTTTCACTGAACAAGCCAGGACTACGATAAATAAATCAAAATATTGAAAACATACCATCCACAGACTTCTAAATTTCTTTGGAATCAATACACTGAAATCTATACCAAATGTAAACAGGTGCCGTGTGTCGGCATCAATTATTTTACTTATATTTCCACTATCGATTGGTAAAATAAACAAACGTGTGTTATTAAAATCAAAGCATAGACAGAATAAATAAATACCTTTTAATATCCAGTACGAGTACGTATCCGTAGGCATTTTCATTGAAATGAAAACAAATTTTATATAAATAGAAACAAATAAAATGAAAACTATATATTCTTTACGAGAGAACGGTCACGTCTCTGTTCTCTGTGTAAAAATGGAGTGAATAATGAGATACCGAAGATAAGGAAATGTCGCCAGTCGCACAATTTCAAGCGAGAGAGCATAGTGAGTATTATGATAAAATGAATATGGAGTGGGTTGTAAACTTTGAAATTATCAAGGCTTCTAAACTTTATACAAACCAAAAGCCCTTTCAAGGTTTCGTTTACCTCTTCACATCTTTGTTAAATAATTTTGGGAAAAATAAGTGGTGTTAAATAATTTTTCTATCATAATTTTCCCATTTACAATAAAACCAGGCTGTCATAATTATGTAATTTAAAAATGTTCTAACTAGTTTATAAGAGGGAGTCAAAGTCCGACAAACATTTACGCACCACACTTGGAACAAAATGGAATGTCATAGAAACATACAAAAGTAAAACAAAGCTCTTTTTTATCGCTGTGCGAATGGCATCGAGAGGTCTGTGTAAAATTAAACAATAATGTAGTCAAACAGTAGTTATATTTGCAGAGTCGTGTTATTTTGTCGAAATTTAGTTTAAATAACCACAAATTCCTGGTGGTCGCGTGCTGGTCTTCTTTTAGTTCCCCGAGCACAAAACGTGTTAGTATAAATTGCTCGTTTTCCTATTAGTTTTCATAAGACATAGAAAATACCAGATGTGGTCATACAACCAGGATCATTTTAGAGATAAAAATAATTTCTATACGAAGTTTGAAAGTACATTTAAGACTAATAAGTCTTTTTCTGGTTTTCGCACACAAAGTGAGTAAAAGTGACATGTATCGTATCTACATGTAATTACAACAAAGAATATACAATCAGTCTGGTATTGCATTAGCGTAACACGTTATGTATGTCGCTGTACAATCATAACGACCTAATTCGCGTACCACGTGTCTTAGTACCAACGGAGAAACAAAAATACAGTTACTGCAATATATAAGTAAGCCCTTTCCATTAAAGATAATATTTCGCGTGGTCTGCTTATCAGAAAAATAAACGTTAATGTTCCTATTCAATATCATTTGACATAAACAGAAAGACTGATTGGCAACCCGCGCGTGATAGTTACCAAGTACACAAGCATTATACCTACGAAATACAATACATGATCAAATCGGGTTAACAGAAAAACAAACTTCAAGTGTTACAATAATAATAAATAAAAGAAAAAAGAAAAATGTAACATACCTATATTTAAAGCAATATCATACTTGAATCGCCACGAACGACTATATTACTACTATGTATGAGAGAATTTTGTTTTGATCACCATTTATTTCAAATGAAGATTGGTAAAGAAAGAAACTTGCAATATATATTTTCAGGATGTCATTTATAAAAGCGTTTATAAAAAGTACTTACCTAAATCGGAGAGACTGACTTTTTCCAAGAATGGGTCCGCCACGGGCAGCTACAACAAAATGTAATCGTGAAACAATTATAAAACTGTAAATTTACGGAACATGTTTTGCGTTCATCATGCAAGTCAAGAATGCTTTAAGGAGCATTTAATACTGAAAAATAAAACATTTCCAATCTCAGGGCCGTGACACATTTTTTACAATGTATGGATTGTAGCAAGTGCCAAGGTCTGTCTAAGAATTAAAAGAGTTTGAACCGGGTGTCATGCGCCCATTCGTTATCCCTACGGGGGTACGATCAATATTACACTTTTACAGAAATTACGAGTCCAGTGCGTATTTGCAAAAGTAATTTCCATTGTTACTGTCACTCGAATCTCGTGTTGCTTCGGCGTATCAGGACGTAATATATACGTAATAAGTTGTTGTTTACCTTTTGTAGTAACCATAGATGCTGTTAAAACCACCATAAATGAGGTTATGTCTAAGCAACACCTTTTAAAATATACACTACTAGGCATGAGTGGATCAAATAAACACTTGATTTTTAGTCTACCTTCTACTATTATGTTACCTCAGTAATACATCAACGTCTTGTATCTCCTTTACCTCCACGCTGTTAGTCACTATTGCGAAATTGACATATGACCGACGTCGTATATTAGACAGAATGTCTGAAGAATCTTACCCCTCTAGAATCTCTGAAGAGCATGGCAGCATGATGCGGGTCCAGAAAGGCGTCGGAGGCACGGTGGCGTACAGTAGGGACATGGCCAAGCGACGAGCGACGTTTCTCCGCGTCCTGTGACGCAGCACGGCGTAAATGAGCTCCTGCAAACAATAATCATATAAGCGCACATAGACTACATACGGTTCCACATAATCGTTTCTACTGACGACTTAGTGGACCACCGATATGATGTCGAGTGATTTTATGACACAGTCTTTCCTAAAATCATGCCGACATTAACAACACATCGGTTACGAATGGCATACCATAGAAAAACAATAATGACTACAATTACGATTAAACAAACGTAGTGCATTAGTTAACATTCACAACATTTTTTTGTGCAACTTTGTATCAAAATACTATTGGCGTTTGCCCATAAAGTATAATGTACCTAAGTGTTTAAACAATCAAATTGAGTAAACAGCGAAGAACTGTTTCTTTGTAGGAAACACCTACATATTCAAAATATTACTCTTCTGGCTGTTTTAGAGACATTTCATGTGTTAAATTGAAACCAGAGCTTTGCGTGGCAGCAAAACTTAATGCGGACTTAAACATTATAACTTGCTGCTATCCTAGTACCTACATTTATATATACAAAAGAATAACGATAATATGACAACAATGTTATAATTTCTCGAGATACAGCTGAGGGCACTTCAATAAAGCGGTCGTTAGGACACCTTATTGGCACTTATCGCATCACTGAACCTTCGCTAATTGATTTCGCAATAACTGGTTCAATTTAGTAAGAAATTCTAAAACAATTAAGATTTTGTCTACCGATATTCTTATAAAACCCAAAATAGATCTATATTATTTATATTTAACCGAAAACATATTTACAGAACTTTTTAAGTCAGAACAGAACGTACGTGTGCGTGTGTATATACATATAATATATACACGAGATGACAACAAGAATAAAAAGTATTAGCTAGGTATTTGCTCGCTAATACCTAGCAGCCTTGACCATTACAGTAAACAAAAGACATCACTTCCTCAACTGAAAGTTGAGTTTTTGAAAACAGAAAATTTTTCTATTTTCAAAAACTCGTCACATGAGCTCTGTTAACTAGGAAAGACAAAACAATTTCCAAGATCATCTATATGTAATGTAACTTTATTATTTTAGCCCCTCGATACTCATAGCAGACGTATCTTCAATCTTTTGTTTCAGTTACAATGGTCCCCTTCCTATTTCAGCCAAATCAGGTCATGAATGATTTCTAGACTCGTGGCCCTTCTCAAAATACAATAGCAGTTCAATATCTATGCTATGGAAACAAACATTTGAAGTAGGTGGTTGAATCTAAATGCAATGAATTTAGTTCAAACCCTACATTGAAAAGGAGTTATTTACAGTTTTCAACGGAATAGCACAACAAACATTATATTATGGCAATCAAAGTGTCGCAAAATGTAACATTCCATTGACGTTCAAATTAGTACGTGCTCTAAGTTTAAAGTCAATGATATCCTGCGTCGAAAACGAGGCTTATCGCTAGAGTTAAATTGTCACGCAGATTTACAGGGACTCTTACTAAGAATCCATTATTTTTTTGTCCTCTGTCCCTGAATAAACCTACTATGAACATGAAATATCTGCAACAAAATCTATTCAGCTAAAATTAGGAGAAACATGTTGAACCGCAACATGTTTCTCTTATTAGTTCACTATTAAATCTTATAACACGAACATTTATGTCAGGAGCGAATAACCGCGAAGTAAAATACGCACAAGTGGACGAGGAGTAGCGGAAAAAGGAGATTTGATTCATATTATGTCTCTGTATATCATATCATAGGTATTTTTATATGATAGGTATTATTTATTATTACATGGGGCGCACTATAAGTTTCTGGAATGAATAAGAAAAAATACTATAAATGGCCAGAACTGAATTTATTGTTTCTCAAAATATTCTACGTTAGCATTAATGCACTTTTTCATACGAATTAACCAATTTTGAAAATATTTATGCCACTTTTCCGTGACAATCTCTGAAACATATTTTTCATACCCCTCGACAGCCTCTTCAGGTGATGAAAATCGTTGACCGCGTAACTGGTTCTTCATTTTTGAAAATAAATAAAAGTCACAAGGTCATCAATCAAAAACAGGTCAAAAAATCCGTTTTTTGAGCCTCAGTCAAATTGTGTGGGATCCAACGAGAGCACAGACTTTTCACACCCAAATGTTTGTGTAGTATTGACTCTGTATTTGACTCATGCCTATGCCTAAAGATGCCCGAATGTCATGGTATGTCACATGCCTGTCTGTTTTGATCATACGGCGCACAGCATCGATGTTTTTGTTGTTCACAGCAGTAGACAGGCGACCATCACGAAATTCGTCACTGAGATTCACACGACCGTGTTTGAATTCTGCAAACCAACGATAAATAGCGTCTTGCATGGTGCTTGATCGCCAAAAGCAGTTTGAAGCCGAGCGAAGCTCCGCTGAACTGTTATATTACCATTAAAGTCGTAGAAAATCATACTACGAAAATTTTCACGAGTTAAATCCATGGTGATGTAGACAACCAATTTCTAAAATGACGACACAATGTAAAAACAAGTGACAGTCAGATGCAACAAACTGTATTCTACAGTCAAAGAGTTCCATTTTCAAATGTTGTAATTACTTACAGGAAATTAAACTATTTTTCCGGATTTAAATCGTGAATATTTGTTTTTTCAAACAAACCAACGTTTCACAAACCGACAGTCAACCGTGACCATGGGACCTGTAAAGGGTCCGAAACGTCGGTTTGTTTGAAAAAACAAATATACGCGATTAAAATCCGGAAAAATAGTTTCATTTCCTATGTGTAACAATCGCGAAAACCAAGAGCTCGGTTGTAATTACTTTTTAAATATTTTTTATATAAGCGGCCAGTTCCGGAAACTTATAGGGCGCCCTATGTAAATACTATCGCCATACTCATATAAACTATTGCAATCTACAAAAGTATAATCTGTCACCCTTTGTATAAAAGGATTATATTTCTTTAGTTTATTGTTATAATTTAAATTCGGTGAGTGGCATTGCTGATGTGGGGAGCAAAACTGCCAGGTTCAAATGGAATTGGGGGGGCCTCGTTAGCTGTATGCAACCCGAGAAGTGGGCGAACATCGTCACTCCTTGGGTGCCCGAGGATGGAAAGAGAATGAGAAGGTGTTGGCGGGACGGTCTTGATGGATTTGAGAGGGAGTGGTGGGAGATCGCCAAGGACAGGGAGCAAAGGAGGATTTTGGTTTTGGTGGGACATAATAGGTTAATAAAATAAATTCTTATAAATGTTAATATACAAACAAATCACCGTGGCGTGGTTGACCTTCGGTCTTATTATATCATTCATCCGCCTGTTTTATTTACAAAATCTATCGTCGCAACTCTAAAGGTCTGCTTCTATTAACTAAAATTAACACGACTTTCAAAACCAAATGTTTAAAAACTATGTTTTAAGTTAATAATGAGATCATTCTTACAATTCTTTAATTCAATAATTTACCTACACCTTTTTCATTACTATCTAGAAAAAAAGTAGACCACAATATAAAGCAAAAACAGCATTTTTACTTTGTGTACATTAGTAAATCAAAACTCAAACATGCACTAAATGTTCATATTAGCCGATATTGGGTAATGAACGTCACTCGGACAGAATATAACGATGTTACAGAGTTCTATTAAATTAGCAGACACTATCCAGACACGAGCGCACTTTAAGATAACAATGACGTTGGGGTTATCTCTGTGCTGTGAATAAATGATAAAATGTTAAAGTATACAATCCAATATTTAAACATTATACTGAATCATCGAGTATATAAATGTACTAATGAATATAGCTTTAGAAACAAAAGTACACTACTCAACAAAGTCTAGTCAGTGCTGGCCACTGAAATTTTATAAATGTAAATTAAAACTGTATTAAATTATGATTCAAAATTTAAAAAATAAAACAAAAAAGCAAAGGCATTTTGAAATTTGAAAAATTTTTTCAAAAGTGAGCTATTGAGAGTTTATTATTACTTTACGTTTGTTTTTCTTGTGTTCAACAATTTATTTTTGGTTTCGTTAATTTTTGTGATTTTGAGAGCCATATCGCGTCATCATTTAACGAAGGACGAGATGCTTAGGGCTGTGCATATGTTAGAAGCTGGGCTGGGTCGTCTGGGGTGGTGTAACGCATGTTCACTGGGCTGAAACACAGTGGGCGCGTGTACTTTTTTCTGAAGAGTCTCCTTTCGGTTTTCATCCAGATTTAAAAAGAGTGCGAGTTTGGCGAATTTCCTGATCGCAATAATGCACTCCAGTAACATCTGGATGTTCATCTACTAAGGCGAAAAGACAATGATTTGAGCTGGAAGTAGCCTGGGATGGAAGAACTGATCTCATTTCGATATAAGGCAAATTTTCAACTGCCTCGTGTATGTGTGTTACCATGCTGGGCTGCCAGACAGGGTACCGGGTCCAAGTCCCGGGCCGGGAGAAATATTTGTATATATTTGTATAGTATAGCTTACATTTATATTATTATTACTATAACTAATTTGGATGCGGAATGCTACTGTGACTAAGTTGTGCAACTCATGGTAATCCCTCACCGACAGCAGTTCGGCCAAGATTTCATGTTTATACACGATAATGCACGTGCATATACTGCAAGACCAGTGAAGAATGTATTCCGCGAGTATCACGTGTATACAGTTGCTTGTTCAGTCGGCCAATCTCAATGTCAGTGAGCATACGATTCATGGAGAAAAGCATTCAGTAATCTTCCCCAAAATTTACAAACAGAAAAAGAGCTTTAACCTCACCTATCCAAAGTATGGTGTCTTATTTCACAGGTGACAATTGAGAACCTCATACTTTGTACGTCGTTGTTGAGCCGTCACTACTGCTTCGGGAGGTCCGACTAACTAGTAAAAAACTCATTTAGTAGCTTTTTTAAATAATTTTCACTGTTACCAAAGATCTTTTTTCATTTTTTTATTTTTTTTTGGAAATGAAACTATTTTTCCGGATTTAAACCGCGTATATTTGTTGAGTCGCGTATACCACTTATGACATAACTGGTTGAAGACT